ACCTGGAAATACTTCTGTAAATATACTTATTACCTTCAGGCTAGTATATAAAATGTTCAATAAAGTTTACTTTTAAACTCATGAAAAACAAGAATGTATATACCATTTCATTCATTTACTTTTTAAGCTGGTACAGATTTCATTATATAAATAATCAAATACAGTCTTCTCCCCTTATCCACAGGAGATACATTCCAAGACCCCCAGCGGGTGCCTAAAACCATGAATAGTGCCAAATCCTATATACATTGTTTTCCCCTATACACACATACTTTTTCACTTAAAGAAAGCATGTTATGGCTTTTCTTTGGCACAACCGAATTGTCAGTATCACTACTCTTTTGCTTTGGGGCTATTATTATGTAAAACAAGAGTGACTTGAACACAAACATTGCAATACCAGGACAGTGGATCTGATAACTGAGAGGGCTACTGAGTGACTACAGGTAGTGTATACAGTGTGGACTCACTGGACAAAGGGATGATTCACTTTCCAGGAGGGACAGAGCAGGATGGAATGGGATTTCATCATGCTACTCAGAAGACACACAATTTAAAACTTATGAATTATTTATTTCTGAAATTTCCCATTTAATATTTTCTGACCATGGGTGACTTCAGGTAACTGAAACCACAAAAAGCAGAACCATGGACGGGGGGTGGGTAGTAGATGACTACTGTAATAAATAAATAAATAAATTCTAGCCATTTATAAAATGATTTTTTAAATCTTAATTTTTTTCAAATTCACATAGAGCAAAGGCAAAATAAAATAAATACAAAAGAGTACAGAAGTTGAAAATGATGGCAAAAGTTCCAAATTAATTTAATTACAAAATAATGGCATGAAACAATTTTAGAAGTAACTACTCCATAAGGTTCAGCCAAAAGTCAAAGAACCAGCAAGCAAATAATAAGTTAACAAGATTGAGAAAAGGAAAAACCAGCTCTCATTACAACAGTGCATTTTCCCAAGTATTTAACTCAGGCTCACGTTTGAACCTACGCTTTCTCAAAAACTTTATGCTTGATAAAAAGTTAAAATAACATCAGCCGAAAACAACTCAAGCATATGATTCTTATCACACACTGAAAAATTATTGTAAGAAAAGAAGGGAGAAAAATGTAGGTTTGAGAAAAGTAAATACTTTCTCAAACTCTTTTTTTGATACAAATTACATAAATGATTTAAGGAGATTGTACCTAAAGCTCCCATTTTATCCCAATTTGGCCAAACTCTCCCAAGAGGTCACTTCAGATTTGGTTATTTGAAAGAACGTGAACCCTTTAATGGATCACCTTCTAATAGTTACTTGACACATTCCACCTCTCAACTAAATATATATAAGGGTAAAATTAAATTTTAAAACATAAACCAGATCTTGTCTACATGACTCTCAAAGTGAAACGACAAGATTCAATGGCATCTTTAACTTAACTGATGCCACATAGAGTCCCCAAAGGCATCCCCTGAAAATAACAACAACCAGGGCATTTCTGCATGTTAAGAAATGAAGCCGGGCCAACGTGGCCCAGGAGTTGAGTGTGGACCTATGAACCAGGAGATCACAGTCCGATTTCCCGATTTCCCGATTTCCCGTCAGGGCACATGCTGGGGTTGCGGCTGGAACCTCAGGAGGAGGCAACCCGATCAATGATTCTATCTCATCATGGATGTTTCTCTCTCCCTCTCCCTTCTTTCAAATCAATATATATACAATTATATATATAATGTATATATGTATATATGTGTGTGTATATGTATATAAGTGTGTGTGTATGTATATGTATGTATATGTGTGTGTGTGTGTGTGTATGTATGTATATATATATATATATATATATATATATATAGACAGACAGGTATATTCTGCCCGTCTTTGTCTTCCTAAAAAGCTAAGATTCACTACCAAGCTTTAATTACAAAGTCAGAGAACGAGAGCCCTTTAGGAGAGGACAAACCCGTAGAAGCTGTCAGGATTCAATCAATACATCTATTTCACCGGGTGGCACAATGACCGAATGCAACACATTCTTAATAAATGAAGGCACAACCTAGGTCACTATTTCTTTAGGTTACACCTCTGGACACAAATGCTTCTCCTGTACAAATCGAAGGAGCTGGACACTAAATGGGGCTCCAGGAGCCCTTTCAGCCTATGGTTCTACTAAACCAGTTTTGAAATAACAAGTCTCACAACTCGGGGAAAATTACATTTTACTGAAAAAAAGGCGGCGGAGAAAAAAAAAAACACCAACAAACCACAAACGACAGATCTGATGCAATAAATCATACCTTGCTCTGCCCAATGTCACCACCACAACTTGTGAAAGGAACCAACCTGTGTCGATGCTCATCGGGCCCGTGAATCAGGAAGCCTCCGGGGTTCTTCGCCCCTTTGTGGGCATCGACGTGCGGAATCAGCACATCTTCCAAACCCAGATCAAAGCGTTTGTGTTTCGAAGAGTCTGGAAGGAAGAAGAATGCCCCAAAACACAGGGTGATGAAGGCACTGAGGATGAGCAGGAGGATAAACTTCTCGGAAAGTCTCAAGGTGGCCCGGTGGTGCGGGAAGGAGGGCGGCCCCAGGTTCAGGGGCGGGATCCTCCGGCCGGACAGGGGCAGCAGGGCGGGGGCGGTCATCGTTCACGCTCTCGCACGAGATGTGGTATCCAGGCCTCCTCTCCCGGCAAATGCGCGACACATGGGACCCCCCTCCGAGCCCGGGCAGCGACGGGGAAACGCAGCTGCTCTCCTCGGCCAGGACCGCGGTGCTTCCTCCACAGGGCGCCTCCCCGCGCGGGCCCCGGACACTCAGACACACGTGTGGCCCCGCGACCGGCGGCTCACGCCCGCTGACAGCGCCTTCGCCTGGGCGTGCGGGGCTCTCGCCAGCCTCCTCCTCATGCCCGGGGGTGGGCCAGGCGGGCAGCGCCGCCGCGAGGATGCCCGGCGTCTGCTTCCATGCGGGCGCCCCGGGGTGCTCCGAGGGGGGTCTCGCGCCCTCTCCGAAGGCCGCCCGGACCGATCCGCGGAGTCAGTCAGGGAAGGTTCCCTTCGCCGCCTCGGAGGCTCGGGTCCCGCGGTCTCTCACCCTCGGCGGCGGGAAAACCAGGGTCTCCTCGGAAAGTCGGCCGACAGGGAGGGAGGTCTCCCACCGCGCCGGGCGGACCGGCAGCTGGTCTTCGGACGCCCGCGCCGTCCGACACGGCCCCCGGGTCCGGGGGAAGGGTTCGACACTTGCCCCACCTGGACGGTCTGGGCCGATAGGGGTATTCCGCGTCCCGAGCCCAAGCGCCCTTCCCGGGCCGGCCGCCGCGTCGCCGCTGTCGCTACCGCGCGGTTTCTGTTCAAGGAGGCGGAACCTTCCTCCCTCCGGCGGCCACTGAGGAGCCCGGGCGTGCGCGCGGGGAGGGAAGCGCGAGTACGGCCCCGCCGGATTCTACTCCTTTCTTCCGCCTCCCGGGCGGGCTAGGTGGAAGTTAACCCGGGGCGCCTGCCCCCCGGAGCGAAGGCGGCGGCTGTCCCCCGGCGGCGCCCAGACGCTCTTAACCGAATCCCCCCGCCGCTTCCTCCGCGGGATGTAGAAGCCGAAGCCGCGGCCCTCCCCGTACCGA